CAGCATAGATTCTCCACCTAGATTTGAAGCTTAGCTTCTAGCACATACATAATCTTCCACTTCGTAATACTGACATATTTTAAAATAAATTAGACATCATAATATCTACATTTCTTTTCTTCTGAGTATTACACAAAATGGATGAGTCAATTGGACATAACTCTTAATGTAAATATTGAAAAATCTAAAAGTTACCCAGTTGTAATCTTTTTAAAAGCAGCTATTCCAGTGACTTGAGATTCCAAATTGAAATTTTGAGTCAGTTTATCCATAAAAAGAAGAGAGCAAGTACAACAACTACTGAAAAAACTGAAAAATTCTTAGGTATTTTATTTTTAAAAGTGATACCAATTCATGATATAATATCAAGTTAGACATTCAATGAAAAATTCCAATCTTTCAAAGCACTTGAACAAAGTTCATAGGAAAATCTAGACCTTCACTACCAAATTCACAATATCAGAGATTGCATTAATTCTAATAGAGATATCCAAGACTGGAGAACATTTTTATTTGCTCTGGAACAATTGTGTCAAAAACCAAACATTTTTAAGATATTTTATACTCGTGGTTATGACTTAAAATTGTTATTTGTGATTTGCTTCACAAGACAGGATAAAAAATAAACAAAAAACAAAACCTGCTCCTCAAAGGATAAAAAGTTTACACACACCTGTGCCACCAGGACTTCGGTTCACGTTTTTTCAGAGACAAGACTCTTACTGTTCTTTTCTTGGGTTCCTCCTTTACTGACCCTTCACTTGAACAGATCTTCCTTTTGGACATTTGGTTGGATGTGGTGGTGGCAGTGGCCATGGTGGGGCTGACTGAGTGCCTGCAGGCAGCCACATGGTAAAGCTCAATCTTGCATTTTCAGCTTTCTGTGCCATTTCATTTTAGCTGTGATTCTTAAGCAGCTGGATTTTAAAATTATTCAGATAGTCTTTATGTTTTAATAGAACAATTTAGCCTTTTAATATTTATATATACATAAATTCATTAGCACAATATTTTTAATTTATCTTACTTGGCATAGCAGCAGCGTTTGACATCGTAGAACACTTTGTTCTTGAAACTCTTTCTTTACTTGAGTTTAGAGACAACACTCCTACTTTATTCTCCTCCTATATTATCAGTTGCTCCTTCTTAGTCTCCTTTATTGGTTCTTCCTCATCTGAGTCTCTAAATGTTGTCATGCTTTCAGGAATGTATCCTTGGACCTTTTCATTCTCTGTCAATCTTTTATCCCCAGCTGAAGTCATCCAGTGTTTTAGCTTAAATACATCTAAATATCCAAATTTATATCTTAAGCTCAGACGCTTCCTCTGATTTCCAGATTTGTATGTCAAATGATCCATTTGACATCTCCATTTGGGCATCTCTATCTTATACTATCTGAAAATAATGTTCTGATTTCCATCCTTTCAACCACTGAGGCCTCCCTACATCACACCTTCTCCTTGTGCACTTTCCTTCATTTAGGTGAAAGGCGACTCCATTGACCGTTTCTGCTAGTTTCCCTGTTCAATTACCTTGAAGAATCCTTGTCTTCTTACTTTTTCTCATAACCCCACTTGATCCGTTAGACAATTCTATCAGATATTCTTTCAAAATATATCCATAATCACTCACTTCTCATGACCTCCACTGTACCATCTTGATCCAAACCACTTTAATCTCTTTCCTGGTTTGTGGAAATAACCCAAACCGATTCCCCTTCTTTCATCCTTGCCCTCCTTCAGTCTCTTCTTCACGCAGCAGTGAGTCATCTTTTAAAAACACAATTCAGATCATGTTGCACCTCTGCTCACAACCCTCCAATGGCTTCCCATCTCACTCAGATGATAACCAAGCTCTTTACTTTATCCTACATGGCTCTACTCCATCTGGCTCCCTGCCGAATCTGACATTAGCTACTGTCTCGCCCCTTGCCCACTCTGCTCCAGCCTCACTGCACTTCTTGCTGTTGCTCTAACATGTCAATCACTTTCCTGCTTTGGGATATTTGCAGTTGTTCATTCCTTTGCCTTAAGTGCTTTTACCCCTCATAGGAGCCATATGGAAACCCTGGTGGTGTAGTGGTTAAGAGCTATGGCTGCTAACCAAAAGGTTGGCAGTTTGAATCCACCAGGTGCTCCTTGGAAACTCTATGGGGCAGTTCTACTCTGTCCTATAAGGTTGTTATGAGTGAGAATTGACTCGACAGCAACTGGTTTTTAGGAGCCACATGACTTACCCCTTCACTTCATTCTGGCCTCTGCTAAGGAGGCATGCTCAAAACATATTTATTGTGGCATTATATGTAATAATAGGAAAAAATAAACACACAAAGCATTACTCAGAGAACAGCTACAGAAACGGATAAATCCATACTATGAAATATTATGAAATACATTTGTTAGCATCAATAGGTCCTTAAGACATATAACTGCGAACTATTAGGCATTTAGAAGTTGTAGTTAAAGAAGAATTTAAACTGCATTTATTTTTAAGTAAGTAGAATATATTCATATGTCTCTTGTAACTATAAAATTAATAAAAAAAATACCATGTTCTTTATATTATATTCCCCAAATTCCTTCCCCTGCATCTCTGTCCAGCTTCTCCGCTTTTATTTTTGTCTAGGAAGGGCCTCTATTTCACTTTCGAGCTAGTATCTCTAGTCAATTTCTTTATTACATTCATTTCTCTCTTTTCTAAGAAAAAGACACAGTGATCGTGTTCTCCTTAAATCTTTGTCTAACGTCCTCTGTTATGAAAAATATCTCCTTTTTCTAGATTCAACTTGTACATTTTAAGGTGCTATTTTTTCTTTCTATTATGGTATATAAATACATACACAAATTTGTCTTTCCCACTAGACCACAAACATCTTTGCAGTAGAGACAGCGTGTTATTCATTTTTAATTTTTACAACCTAGAACAAGATCTAGCTTACAGTAGACCTTCAATAAATGGCTGTGAATTTATTTTGAACTACATTGGAGAAATCACATTTAATCACAAAGATACAATTTGATAAAATATTTTAGTTAGTAACCTCCACAAGGAAACCCTGGTGGTGTAGTGGTTAAGAGTTTGGGTGCTAACCAAAAGCTTGGCAGTTCAAATCCACCAGGAGATCCTTGGAAACCCAATGGGGCAGTTCTACTCTGTCCTATAGGGTCGCTATGAGTTGGAATCGACTTGACAGCAAAGGGTTTGGTTTTTTTTTGGTTAACCTCTACAAAATTGCATTTTGGGGAAGAAACCAATTTATTTAAAAAAAAAAGAAAAAAGAAAACTCTCCATCTAGTTCAATAGTTTATTCTTCCCGACAATCTGCAGATGGTTCCTTAGGTAGAATGGAGGGATCTTGGGCTTTGGTGACTGCTGATTAGCTCGTTGGCCTGATGGTTTTAGACCACTGTGGGATGCTCCAGGCTTTACTTTAAATGAGGAATTTTTCCAAGGTCCCAGACAGTCAAATCTTTGATAGTGAAAATTATAATGAGGGTTAGAGGCGGTTAGGAGACCAGTCATATCTCTATAAGCACAGGAGGAATCTCCATATATTCATCACTGTGTTGGGGTGAGGAAGGTCTGTGTCTGTGATGGGTGTAACAGAGATGATTCCTCAAGTGGTATTGACAATAGGAATATTCAAGAGCCATGGTGAAGCTGTAAGATGGAAAAGAAAACATATGTATTACCTACTTCCATTTTTATGACTTAAAATTCTACAGTATGAGCCTCTGTAATGACTTCAAAACTTCCCTAATGTTTCTAATTGTTACCTTCTCTTAAACCTCTTCTGAGACTAGAAAAACAGGAAAAAGGAGATAAGAAAAAAAAATGAGAAAGAAGGAAAGAAAACATACAGAGAGAGAGGAGAATAAAGAAAAGAAAGGAGATTGGGGGGAGAGAAAGAAGACATATTTATTTGAATTTCAAAATGCGGCCTACACCTCATGTTCACAGAGCTGAATCATCCATATGGGCCTGCAGAGTAAGAGGAGGGGTTAGAAAAGACAAAAGAGGAGATGGAAATGAGGCCTGGGTGGCCATCATGTGCGTGTCCTATTTCTTTATCTATCAACCAAAGTCTTGTTGGAGACATTTTCTATGTTCATGATGACTATATGTCTTAGGTTTACAGAATTCTCCTAATTTCATTTACTTCTTTATGAAGATTAAATGAATAAATAGTGCATTCAGTCAAATATTCTTTCTTTGTGAGAGCTTTCTCATAAATGAATTCCCAATCACTCTCCAAACTATGTGTCCCAATTTCTGGTTAAGAAAATTGGGTCACTGACCTTGGTAATTTTTAAGGATATACCTGACCCAGATGAGGCCCCTATTTCTTTCTGGCCTCTTTCCCTTTCTTTGCTCCCCTCTTGAGATATCTGATTACTGGGGCACTTTAAGTGAAAGCAATCCTGTAAGAGTGGAAAGCCTGGATAATTCTGTGTCTGTGGTCAACAATGCAGTAGTCAGCAGGGTACTAATAGCAGCAATGTCAGTATCTGATGAAAAACTAGAAGGAAATCCTTTGCTCCCTGATCTCCTTATACTCTCCTTCACTTAAGGACAGATGGGACTCAGCCTACCTATTTACTTTCTTCTTAGCTTTTTGGGGGCCAGCCAGAGAAGAAACATTCTCAAGAGAGTTAGTGTTTTCCTTTTTAGAGGTTCATTAATTTCTTTAGGATAAGCTGTCTTCATGACCCATAGTTTTCTGCTCTTTATCTTGGAGCTCCCTGCTATTTGATCCAAGATTTATTTCTGACCCTAAAATGAGATACTTCACTTGACCTTTCTGGGCATAGCCTGGCTGGTGGCCACAGAAGCTCCTTGGCTGAGGACAGGGGATCAGAGACATATTCAAGCTACCATCTTTCTAGATCCCCCTCTTCCTAGGACAAGTGATTGTTCCTTTGTTTATGGCCTAATTTTTTTTTTTTAATCTTGTAGGAAAAGAGAAGACCCTGAAGGAAATGGATTGACCTAGTGGCTGCAACAATGGGCTAAAAGATAGCAATGACTGTGAGGATGGTGCAGGACCTGGCAGTATTTTGTTCTGTTGTCCACAGGGTCACTATGAGTCAGAACTGACTGGATGGTACCTAATATCAACACTTTGTCTAATTAACTGTGGAGGAAATCTCTCCCCATTTCTCTTTTTGAGAATTTGAAGGGTACATGAAGCATGGAATTACCTGCAGTATCGGATTTGGCCCCTAGAGGGAGATGCTACACAAATTGAACTTTGTGTAAAGGGGAACCAGGAGCAGAAAGCAACCAGGCCCTTTGAAGAAGAGCTTTTTGCTTTAAGTGCTAGGTAAACTCACCCACCACTCTGTTAGAGTGTCCGTGTGGCTGAGTTGTTTCCAGAAAAAACCTCCGGAAAAGAGCCTCCTGTTTCCCCACAGTTCAGACATGAAACTCACCCTCATCTCTGTGCTTGTGATGATCTTCACACTCAGTGAGTAAAGTCTCATTTTATTCCATCTCTCTATGGTCTTCTGATTTAGACTAAGTTTAAGGAAATAGTCTTTTCAGTTTTTAAGGCTCTCCCTGATCCAGAATTGATGTTACAGGAGGAACAAGAGCCCAGAGAGTGACTCAGCCTGAGGACCACATCTTTGTGTTTGAAGGGGCCCCAGTGAAAATAAAGTGCAACTACTCATATTCTGGGAGTCCTGTTCTCTCCTGGTATGTCCAGTATCCCAAGAAAGGACTCCAGTTACTTCTGGGGCACATTTCAGGAGACAGCATCAAAGGTTTCTCGGCTGACCTTGACAAGGGTAAGATGACCTTCCATCTGAAGAAACCATCAGCTCAAGAGGAAGACTCAGCCATGTATTACTGTGCTGTGAGTGACACAGTGACTGGTGTTGCATGGGAAACAGAGCACAAACCCTCTAGGGCTTACAAAAATTGTGTTTTGTAAGGTGTTTATCTGGCCACAGTGAGGCAGTTCTTCTCTATAGACTGACACTGAGTTTACCTCTTAGATACAGTATTTTCAGTTGTTAGCTATCTATTAACTTGAAAATGTTGTGGAAGAAAATTCTTATTGCCAACTCTACTTAAATTAAGAGTATGCTTTAAAAATACTAAGTATGTTTACTCTGTCTAGTAGTACCTGATAAACAATATTTTCGAAATAAAAACTATATTGTATTGTTGTTGTTGCTAGGTGCTGTTGAGTCAGTTCTGACTGAGAGCAACCCTATAGAACAGAGTAAAACTGCCCCATAGGCATTCCAGGGAGCGGCTGGTGGATTCAAACTGCAGACCTTTTGGTTAGCAGTCAACCTCTTAACCAGTGCACTACCAGGGCTCCAACAACTGTATAGCATGGCCTAAAAAACATTCTTCTCTTGGCTCAGAAGGATTATTCAGACTTTGGTGGTGCAGTTACACTTCCCTCAATTCCGCTTCCATTCCCTACCACCTCCACATGTGTTCATCACCACATATCCAAGCACAGTTTCTTAAAAGACGATGGTGTTTCGTGACTTGTGATGGCCAGTTTTTCTGCATCAATGCCCTTTCCTCTCCTCATGCACTTCATGGACTCCTACTATCTCAGTCAGGGACCACTCAGGAGAACAAGGGAAGTTTAATATAAAGAATTGCTAAATAACAGGTGATTAACTAGTAAAGTGCAAAATGAACTCTAAAGAATGTAGGAATAACAAATGCAGGGAAAAGCTCTTATCTCTGTGACTAAATCACATTTCCCAAGAAAGGAACACTTAGAATAAGCCCTCTGCCAAGGCTATGATTCAGATCTCACTGGAGAGTGTGTGGCTTTAGCCTGCTGGATGGTGGAGAAGTTTGCTGAAGTGACAAATACAAAGGCTGGTAAGCTGGCAAACTGCTGAACTTGCTGGAAAGCTAGCTCGGGTGCTTGTGAAACTTACCATGAAGCCACCTGTGGGGCTGTCACTGAAACATGAAGGAGGTGAGTGCCAATGGGTGTCCTACATGCTGGCCAAGCACTGTATGAGCAAGTGAGGAAAATGTACTAGAACCAGGAAGAAATGCTTCTTCCTCCTGCAGAGTCCTTCTAACCCCCTTTACCAGCAAAGCTTCACATCATGCCAGCTGGAAATGTTTACAGGGTCCAGATCAAGTATTACAAGCATGTCAATGAACCGTGAATTTGGAGTTGAGAGGCAATTAACTGATAACTGGCACATCTGTCCCTCTGGCTACTACCATATGCACCCTTCTACACCTATTTGACTGGAGATTTGAGTCCATTCAGAGGTGCGCTGGAAGAAAGGCCCAGTGATCTACTTCTGAAAAATCAGCCATTGAAAACCCTAAGGAAAACAGTTATACTCTGATACACATGGGTTCTCCATGACTTGGAATCAATTCGATGGCAACTGGTTAATATGTATTTGAACTTACAAACAACAATAAAACAGCTCTGTGTTTCCACCTAACATGTTACAGCTATCCTTTGAACAAATGAAGACGTTCTCATCCTTTTCTCAAAATGAGGAAACTGACATTACCAACAGTCACTGCATCTATCTCTCAATCACTTGTCAAATTCAGAGGAAGTCCCACTGAATATTCTGTTACCTACAGACTAAATGTAAAGTTAACCTCCAACAATTTGTATATAAAATAATTATGCTAAGAAGGAGAGAGAAGAAGAAAATGGCAGCGTATTCAAAGGAACATGTACATATAAACAAGTAAAGCAAAAATACAGAAAGATACTTCATTCCTGGATTCCATAATTGGTTAGCAGGCTGCAACTGACATCTACAGCTTCCTTCTTTTGTTACTCATTTTATATTTCTCCTTTCTTTAGCCATAAACTCAGTGTATTGGGGTTCTTTTCCGGTGAAGTGATCCAAATCTTCATTCTCAAAGGGTCTGTGTTGTTGCTGTTAGGTGCCGTCCGGTTGGTTCCGACTCATAGCGACCCTATGTACTACACAAGGAAACACTGCCTGGTCCTGCACCATCCTCGCAATCATTATCATGCTTGAGCCAATTGTTGCATCTGCTGTGTCAGTCCATCTTGTTGAGGGTCTTCCTGTTTTTTGCTGACCCTCTGCTTTACCTGGAGATGTCATTCTCCAGGGACTGATCCCTCCTGATAAGATGTCCAAAGTATGTGAGATGTAGTCTCACCATCCTTGCTTCTAAGGGACATTCTGGTTGTACTTCCAAGACAGATTTGTTCATTGTTTTGGCAGTTCGTGGTATATTCACTATTCTTCACCAATACCTCAATTCAAAGGTGGCAATTCTTCTTCTGTCTTCCTTATTCATTGTTCAGCTTTTGCATGTATATGATATGATTGAAAAGATCATGGCTTGGGGTCAGGCGCACCTTAGTTTTAAAGGTGATTTCCTTGCTTTTCAATATTTAAAGAGGTCTTTTGCAGCAGATTTACCCAATGCAATGCATCTTTTGATTTCTCGACTGCTGCTTCCGTGGGTGTTGATTATGGATCCAAGTAAAATGAAATCCTCAACAACTTCAATCTTTCCTCCGTTTATCATGATGTTGCTTTTTGGTCCAGTTGTGAGGATTTTTGTTTTCTTTGTGTTGAGGTGCAGGTCATACTAAAGGCTGTGGTCTTTGATTTTCATCAGTAAGTGCTTCAAGTCCTCTTCATTTTCAGCAGGCAAGGTTGTGTCATCTACATAACGCTTGTTGCTAATGAGTCTTCCTCCATTCCTGGTGCCCCGTTCTTCTTCATATAGTTCAGCTTCTTGGATTTTTTGCTCAGCATACAGATGGAATAGGTATGGTGAAAGGATACAACCCTGATGCACACCTTTCCTGACTTTAAACCACGCAGTATCGCCTTGTTCTGTTTGAACGATTGCCCCTTGATCTGTGTACAGGTTCCTCATGAGCACAATAAAGTGTTCTGGAATTCCCATTCTTCAAAATGTTATCTATAATTTGTTATGATCCACATAGTCAAATGCCTTTGCATAGTCAATAAAACCAAGGAAAACATCTTTCTGGTATTCACTGTTTTCAGCCAGGATCCATCTGACATCAGTGATGATAACCCTGGCTCCACGTCCTCTTCTGAATCCAGCCTGAATTTCTGGCAGTTCCCTGTTGATATACAGCTGCAGCTGCTTTTGAATGATCTTCAGCAGAATTTTACTTGCATGTGATATTAATGATATTGTTCGATAATTTCTGCATTCGGTTGGAGCATCTTTCTTGGGAATAGGCATAAATATGGATCTCTTCCAGTCAGTTGGTCATGTAGCTGTTTTCCAAATTTCTTGGCATAGACGAGTGAGCATTTCCAGTGCTGCATCCATTTGTTGAAACATCTCAATTGATATTCCATCAATTTCTGGAGCCTTGTTTTTCACCAGTGCCTTCAGTGCAGCTTGGACTTCTTCCTTCAATACCATCAGTTTCTGATCATATGCTACCTCTTGAAATGGTTGAAAGTTGACAAATTCTTTTTGGTATATTGACTCTGTGTATTCCTTCCATCTTCTGTTGATGCTTCCTGCTTTAATATTTTCCCCATAGAATCCTTCACTATTGCAACTCGAGGCTTGAATTTTTTCTTCAGTTCTTTCAGCTTGAGAAATGCCGAATCTGTTCTTCTCCTTTGGTTTTCTATCTCCAGCTCTTCGCACGTCATTATAATACTTTACTTTGTATTCTCAAGATACCCTTTGAAATCTTCTGTTCAGATCTTCTACTTCATCATTTCTTCCTTTTGCTTTAGCTATTTGACTTTCGAAAGCAAGTTTCAGAGTCTCTTCTGACATCCATTTTGGTCTTTTCTGTCTTTTTAATGACCTCTTGCTTTCTTCCTGTACGATGTCCTTGATGTCATTCCACAACTCATCTGGTCTTCGGTCATTAGTGTTCAACTTGTCAAATCTATTCTTGAGATGATCCCTAAGTTCAGGTGGAATATAGTCAAGGTCGTACTCTGGCTCTCATGGACTTGTTCTAATTTTCTTCATTTTTGACTTGAACTTGCATATGAGCAATTGATAGTCTGTTTTGCAGTCGGCCCCTGGCCTTGTTCTGATTGATGATATTGAGCTTTTTCATTATCTCTTTCCACAGAAGTAGTCAGTCTGATTCCTGTGTATTCCATCTGGCAAGGTCCACGTGTATAGTCTCCATTTATGTTGGTGAAAAAAGGTATTTGCAATGAAGAAGTCGTTGGTCATGCAAAATTGTATTATGTGATCTCCGGCATCATTTCTATTACCAAGGCCATGTTTTCCAACTACCTATCTTTTTCTTTGCTTCCACCTTTCACATTCCAATCACCAGTAATTATCAATGCATCCTGATTCCATGTTCGATCAATTTCAGACCGCAGAAGCTGGTGAAAATCTTCAATTTCTTCATCTGTGGCCTTAGTGGTTGGTGTGTAAATTTGAA